CAGCCACAGCTCTTAACCTCTGGGCCATCTCTCCAGACCCCATTTTTTTTTCTTTTTTTTTTTTTTGTCCTGGCTTATAGTACCAGCCATGAACTCTTTTGTGTCATAGGCCTTGAATCTAGTTGGGAAATTGCTGGTCTTAGCCATGATAGTTGGGTCACTGATGCACATTCAAGAATATCCTGCTTAAGTTTCTCAGTGTTTTAGCACTCAGGGTCTATAGCCAAGAGCAATGTTGGGGGCAGTTCTCCACTAGCAGCCTACACAGCCCCTCCTGGCACTATGCCAACCAGTAGGGTAGGCGTTTCCAGTTCAGCCCCATCTTAATTTTTCCATATCCTATAGTCAAAACATACATAAGCAGTGTCTTCAGCAATAGGGTCTTGCTGTCAGCAGTAGCACTGGGTTGTGTTATTTGTTGGGCCTCATGGGCTTCCCTGGCCAACAACTCAAAACGAAGTAACCCATCCCTGGCATTGAGATTTTCAGTTAGTAACTTATGGCTTCTACCCATATAGGGTGCCATTTGGATTTAAACTCTTTAGCTGTTAGTTCAGTTACTGGGGGATGCTCAGTGGCTTCCAAGGACAGCCTGTGTGGCATTGATAGTGGGGCTTGTATACACCACACCTCACTGTTGCACCTTTGTGAAGTTTGCTTCTGTGCCATACCAAACGGGTTTGGCTGGGAGGCTTTCAGTCCAGCCCTTCATTGGGCAAGCTGTTTTTAAGTCACTGGGATAGAACCAGTAATAGACCCTGCCTGTTGCAGTGTTTTCTATAACCCTCACAGATGCTGTGCGCCGAGCTCCAGCTTCTTCTCATGACTGACACCAAAACCTTATTTGTTTAAGCTGCTTTTGCCATAGCCCCTAGCTATAGCCTTTTGAACTCCTGGTAGCTTCTGGCAGGAAGGGACACTAGGTTAGTGGGATACATAGCTGCTGAACCTGTCCCAGAAAGATCTTAGCCCTCTCAAAAGCCACTTGAGCCTTTCTGTGCTGTTCATAGAACTCTTTTCATTATCAAGTTATGGGCAAGATAGCACATAAAAATCTACTCATGTCCCAGGAGCCTCCCGGTGTCTGTAGCTCCTTTACATTTATAAGTTGTCTTATAATAGTGATATTATCATCACTGGGCACAGTGATAATAACACTGTCCGGTTTCATGGATGCCTTACCCGACTAGACCATAATACCCCCAAGAATTTTACAGCTGCGCCTGGTCCTCGTGCCTGCGGATTCGTCTCCCATCCTCCTTCCTATAGATGGACCTATACGTCCTTGAGGTACATTTCTCAAGTCTACAAAACACTCATCTGTGTAACAATATTTTCCAGAGGATTGGCGGGACAAGGCTACACCCCAAACCACCAACCTATAACAGAGAGGGAATACAAAGATGATCTTAGTGGGGCACTGTGAAAGTCTGTTGTCACCTGTTACCAAAGTGTCAGGTAACCCCAGAGAGTCACAACTGAGAAGATTCTAAAGTCAAACGTGAACAAGGTCTAATTCAGCACAGAGGGTTCCATCCATTTGTATCAGTTGCTTCCTCCACAGACCAAGGTTGGGACAAAGCATGGCTGGGAGGCTCTAACTTAATTAGCTCTCTGTAGCCCTCAGTCTTTTTCTCTGAGCCGTTGCCTTTCCTGTCCTGGAGCTCCTCATGGAACCTGTCTACATCTCTAACACTGATAAACTCGGCATGACTTACTCTGCTCAGATCTACTCATGGCCAAAGGTGAACGTGACCCTGCTTTCCCCTGCTGTACCTGCTGGCTCCCCGCGTCAGAGCAGCCCTGGGTGGGCACAATGGCTGTAGCTGTAGCTGTAGCTACATCCACCATACCTGGTTGTTGGGGGAGTTCCTCGTTAGGCAAACGATCTCCACCCCTAGCTCAACCTTTTGCTGTGTAGCCTCCCTAGTGTGATGGGATGATTACCCACCCCAGGGACAGGCTCCCTCTTCTTCATCTGTATTGTTTTACACGGACGGGTGTCTTCTGTGCACTGCTCCTCAGGCTGTGAAGCCATCTAGAAGCCCTTAACACCGTTTGGATTCTGTCAGTTGTCCCCCAAGAACTCCAGCTCCAAACAAGTCTTGTCAAATTTGTCTTCCAGTGACCCACACTGAGCTCTTCCTCTGCTCTGTCTTTTCCTTATCTCTTCTAGGTTGCTCTCTCACTTTACAGACACACTTTACATGCTGCTCTAAGTCAACTGAGATTACGAAAGCCTTTCCCACTTTATAAAGACCTTGTCCTACCAAAGGGCTCAGCAAAGCCAGTAAAGCGCCACACCAGCCTTGACATCCCTGCTGGTCAGCCTTTTCATCAACTCCTCTGTGAACACACTTCTATCTGGCCCAGTGAACTGGGGTTCACACACAGCTCATCTTATTCCTGGGGCCCTCGATAGCATCTATCCCTCCTCTATGGTCCTCCAGGCCCTGATATTTATGGGAACTTTAGATGGAGATAACCAAGTGTTCCTAATGGCTCTGATAAGCCAGTCCACCAGGGACTGACTTCCCTCACACTAAGGTTGTGCAGCCTTTGCCTTCAGGAGGGATGAGAGGTTACATCGATGACTCAGTTTTCCTGTCTCCACAGACGTCAGACTGATCCCATCTACTCCTGTTACCCATAGCCTCACAGGCTCTGACAGGCTCTTGTCATTGCTTATTTAAACGTCTTCTCTCTAATTCCAGCCGTTGAAGCACTGGGTATTCCCTGATCACCCTAGTTTCTTGCCTTGGACTATGTTCTGGGTTACAGATTATCCCTTTTTTCTCTTGATGGTGGGATGGATCTGAGGAGTATTTTCTATTGCTTTTACTGTGAATCTTCCCATGGGTTCCAAGATCTTGGATCCAAGGAAGGGCTTTTGAGTACATATCTAACCTGTACTTTGTTTTCCTTCTCACTGCAAACCTTAAGGGACAAGCCAACTCCTCCATCTCATCCTCTTTTTTAATTTCTTTGCCAAATTAGAGGCTAACAGAGGAGATACTACCCCAGTCTTCATTTCTTGTTGCAGTTGCTCCTTTGTACAAACAAGTTCCTGTGTGGCTGCCATCTCAGCCTCAGGTACATTTCTAACTACAACAAAGAGAGATCAGGCAACCTGTGCTGCTGTTTGATGACAATGTTGACCCTGTGTGCTAATCTTAAAGACTGTGACACTTCCCCTAAACCAATGGTTCTCAACATTCCTAATACTGTGGCCCTTTAATTCAGCTCTTCATATTGTGGTGACTCCCAACCATAAAGTTTTTTCGTTGCTACTTCATAATTGTAATCTTGTTTACTGTTATGAATCATAATGTAAGTATCTGATATGCAGAGGATATCTGATATGTGACCCCCAAAGGGGTTTTACCCCACAAGTTGAGAACCAGTTGCAACTTTTAACTGTTTTCAGAGCATATCCATATCCACGTGGTAGACCCCATTCATCGAGCAGGCATGCCATCCCATACCATAGAGACAAAGACTGCCATCCTGGGATTTTTCCCACAGACGTTCCTGGTGTGAGCCTTAGTTTTATGTCTCATTACTCTTAGCAAGAACCATGTGACCTCTAGCACATCCGTAATACAAAAGTGCTCTATCACACACCACGAAGGAAAGGACAGCCATTGGAATTTCCTTTGCTGATGCTCCCCCACTTAGGCTTTTCAGCCTCTGTTGCCTGCCTTACTGTCTGTCTTCATCAGGGTTTTTATTACTGTAAAGAGACACCATGACAACTCTCAGAAAGAAAACATATAATTGGGTGGCTGGCTTACAGTTTCACAGGTTCAGTCTACTGTCATGACAGGGAGCATGGTGGCATGCAGGCAGACATGGGGCTGGAGCAGCAGAGAGAAGGAAGCCGACTGACTTAACTGGGCAGTATCCTGAGCATAGGGAACCTTAAAGCCCACTCCCTCAGTGACACACTTCCTCTAACAAGTCCATACCCATCCCAACAAAGCCACGCCTCCTAATAGTGCCCCTCCCTGTGAGATTATGGGAGCCAGTTACATTCAAACTGCCACATTCTACTTCCTGGCCCCATAAGCTTGTAACAGTATCATAATGCAAAATGTGTTTAGTCCAACATCAAAAGTTGCCATAGTCTATCACATTTTCAACAGTGTTTAAATGTCCAAAGTTCAGAATCTCTTTTGAGATTCTTTCAATCTCTTAACTAACCACTTGTAAAAATAAAAACAAAAAGACAACATCCTTTCAATTTATAATGGTGTAGCACAAATAATAAAAACCCAGAGACAGATACTGGGCTTCAAGCTGAAGATCAGAGAAACACAGCCAAGCCAGTAGCTCTTAACCTCTACCAAGACCAAAATGGGTGATTCTGTCTCCAGGAACACGAATCCTCAGAGTGCAAACGCCTTCCCTGTCTGGAAACTAAATCTCACATGAGACCCTTTGCTTCTTCCTTTTATACCTCCCTAGTGCTGGGATTAAAGGCGTGAGCTCTGTTATGCTTTAGACTGATTCACACTTGTGTAGCCCTGGGTGGCCTTGAACTCACAGAGATCCCATCTGCCTCTGTCCCCTGAGATTAAAGGTGTGTGCCAACGCCACCTGGCCTCTATGGCTAGCTAGTGTGGCTGCTGCGATTAAAGGTGTGTATCACCACTACCTGGCTGTGGCTAGCTTTGCATTTTGATTCCAAGTGGCTTTAATAGGTCATAAAAAATTTATCACCATATAATGGCGCAGGGTATTCATTACCATTCCAAAATGCAGGGAAGGAAGCATAGTGAGGAAACACTGGACCAAAGCTGGGCCAACTCCAAACTGGGTTTCCATGTCTGATGTCAAAACACTCCTCAGATCTCCCAACTCCTTTCAGTTTTATTGACTGTGCAACTCACTCCTTTCTCTTGTGCTGGTTCTACTCCCTGTTAGCAGGTCTCCTTGGCAGGTATCCTACGACTCTGTCATCTCTAACATCTTGGGTTCTCCAAGGCAATCCAGGCCTCACCTTCACAGCTTCACACAATGGCTTCTCTACAAGGCCTCCATTCAAGGACACCCCTGACACATGCCTGGTCTCAGCAGCTTTCTTTAGGCACAGATGCAAATTCCATAGCCAGTTCCTTCTGTCTTTTACTCTAAAGCCTGAACCACATGGCCAAAGCTGCCAAGTTCTGCTACTTCTGTTTCGATTACATCATCACCAGCTTTCTGTCCTGTACTGCCTAAGCGTGGCTGTCCTGAAAATAGATTTCTAGACCAAGCTGGCCTCACTCCGAGATCGTTCAATTCCATCTTCACCTGCTTTCTGTTTTCCATAGTTCCCTCCGCTGCCTGACCTTCACTGTCCTTGAACTTGCTCTTGCACCAGTCTATCAAACTCACATTTACAGCCTCTGCTTTCTGAATGCTGGGGGTTAAAGGTGTGTACCACCACACCTTGCTCTAAACTTTTCTTTAATTGCTTTCTGAAGGTTGGAAACTTAATTAATTAAGTGGGTCTTGCCATGAGGTCACCACTCCCTTTATTCCATTTCTTAATCTATTTATCTCCTTGGACACAGGATTTAGCTCCATTCCACTTCCTGGCACTCTTTTTCTCCTCTAAATTTATATTTCATGATTCACCCTGCTCAGCTTGCTCCTTTTCATTATGAATCTTCATTAGAGTTACCAATAGTATCCACACGACAGTGTCTATACGGGGTTGTTTTGAGATTTCTTCTGCTAACAGTATTAATCCAAAACTCTTCACTTTAGCCTCAGGCAGACTCTTTGGACAAGGGCAAAAGGTAGCCACCTCCCCCCCAAATATAACAGAAACAATCTCTAGGCAACATACTAAAATTCTTCTCATCTGAAACCTCTTGTGTGAGCCTCCAAGAGTTCAAATGACCTCTGTCTTCCATACTCCTACACAGTGCTTGAAGCACTCTACTGCTTTCCAAACCCAAAGTACCAAAATCCAGATTCTTCCAAACAAAGTATGATCAGGCCTATCACAGCAGTATCTCAGTCCCTGGTACCAACTTCTGTCTTAGGGTTTTATTGCTATGAAGGGACACCATGACCCTCCTAATAATGTCACTCCCTGTGAGATTATGGAGGCCAATTACATTATCCTCAGTTTTCCACAACTCATCTTTGGTTCTGTCATGTCCCTGTTTATGGTATGTGACAAACTTTTCCTGGGATACACAACACAAACATGCACTCACTCCAGTTAGGTAACCCACAACAGGCCAAGGTACAGATACACAGAACTCCAACTCAGTGAATCAGTGAGGTTTGCTTGGGTTACTTACAGGAAAGGGGTTACTTGTAGGAGCAGAAGACATGACTTGGAGATAGCTGTATAGCCAAATTCTACTTCAGTATGTGTGACAGCTCACAAAATTGGGAACCTGGAGCACACTGGACAACCTGTAAAAACAGGTGCCTCAGTTGGTCTAAACCTCTTGTAGGCAGCTTCTCTGTTTCTGCTCCTTTCAAGCAGCTGCTCCTGTCTTAGTCTTCGTAGCTCAGCTTGGCCGAGCCTTTACGCTGGTAGGGAAAGGCCAAGTGAATCTGGTCAGTTCAGAGATTTCCTGAAGCTCTTTTGAGTTATTTACGTTCCTGTTAAAAGAGATTCCCTGCCTGAAAGTATGCTTCAGTCTTGGAGGAAACCATTACACAATACACACCATGTGGAGACGTGTGACCCCCGTCCTGCCCTGCTGGATGAGGTCAGTCAAGTGAAGGAAATGACAGGTAAACATTGTGTTTAGAAGAAGAGGTTAGTTCAGAGAAGGCAAGGACTTCAATATTTGAATCTACCTGGAGCATTGTATCCTGTGATTGAATAATGCTTTAAAGTGTCGTTGTAGAAGTATAAAATAGAGAGCCTGGAAGAGGTGATTTTAGCTATGTGAAGGCTACTTAGGAATTTGAGTTTGCCATATAACATGATTGAAGATTATCCTGGCAATCTGGGTATGGTTGTAACCCAGTGAGCAGGTGCAGTGAAGTTAAAGGATCTGAAAGGGTGTGGGAGGGATTGCTAAGCAGGGCACTGCTCAGAGGGTGAGACCGTAGTACTGCTTTCTCCTGGTGGTTTAGCACCACTTAAAAATTACAAGAAAACTGAAGTTGGCAGTGTTAAGTAAGCAAGTTAGAATTCTACCTCTCAGGCCACTTTGGGCTATTTTGAGCATTAAATGAGGTGGCATAACACCTGACAACATGGTTGAGTGGTTAATGAAACATTAGTCCATTTGAACACTAAAGATCTCATGTCACTATGTAGATCAGGCTGGCCTTGAACTCTGAGATCCATCTGCCTCTGCTTCCCAAGTGCTGGGATTTAAGGAGTGTACTATCAAACCCAGTCTTCCAGAAAACTTTTAAGTAGAATATGTAAGTAGCCTGTAATATAAATGAATTTCTCCACAAATGTTCAAGAAGTATTTGTAGAAATAGCAATAGATTGATTGTAAAGCAGAGGATTAGCTAATTAAATAGTTGAATGAGCTATTTTACAGTGTTCACATTCTAAATGTACTGATGTTCAGGCAGCTAGAGGTTATATCAGTATTACTGTTGTAAACCTGCTAAATGTGACTATTTTGGTATTTCTAAAGAGAAGTATAATGATAGATAAAAAACATGACTGTGCAAAAATAAAATTTTGCTGAACTCTAGTGACAAGCAATGCTTTCTTTCTTTTACTTAGGAAATGTTAAGAGATCTAAACCTTGGTGAGATGAAGAGTGGAGTGCCTGTATTGGCAGTGTCCTTGGCCCTTGAGGGGAAGGCCAGTCACCGGGAAATGACATCTAAGCTGCTTTCTGACCTCTGTGGGACGGTCATGAGCACAAATGATGTGGAGAAGTCATTTGATAAGTTGCTGAAGGATCTCCCTGAATTAGCATTGGATACTCCTAGAGCACCACAGGTTTGTATCATTTTCTTTTTATTCACTTTCTTTCCCTTCTGCATTTAGGATAGTAGAAATAATACGTACTCCTAGCAAATTTTCACTGTTTACTGTCCAAAAAGTAGCTCTGCATGTCTTTCCCCCCAACTTTGTTTGTATGTGTAGTCCTGTCTATTAAAGTAAGGGCTACCCACTGCTCGGCAAGTGCTCTACTGCTGAGCTGTAATATACTCAGCCTGTCTGTTGGTTTTCACACGGTCTTGATGAAACTAAACTAGGTTTTATGTCTGACCTCCCACCCAGTGGTGCATCGTTTTTAAATCACATATATAATACATGTGTTTTTCTGCTCATACAAATTTTTATTACATGTTCACTATTTTACCAAGAATTTTAAAATGTATGTTGCTTATAATAGTCTTCAAAAACCAAAAAAAAAGTTATAATTGACTTACTTGAATGACATTTATTAAAACAGAATTAGAAGTAATAACATTCCTTTTGTAACTTTGAAAACATATATTTGCCACTTACTAACATTTGCATAAAATTCAAATTTATAAGGAGTTTCTAAATGAAATTATTTATTTTCCTTCCCCTTTATATATAGACCTATATACATACATACACACACTTAAAAATGGTCATGTGAGTTTATATTAACTATAGAATTTTATAATTATTATAGAAGAGAGGCCAGGACAAAAAAAACCCCACAGAAACCTGTTGACATTTTCATAATCAGTTTTTTATTTCTAGTTTCTTGGTTATTTTTCAATATCCTTTTACCTTTATTTAGTTAACAAATGGAATTATACCACATATATTTTGTAGATTTGATTTTTCTTACAAAATGTGACAAATATCTTTTCCTACGGCTTCACAGTGTGCTTTGTTTTGTGTGCACTGCTCAGCTATTACTGTGTGTGATCTGCTTAGCCCCACCATAATTACCAGACCCTGAAGTTATTTCCAGTTTCTGTAGTAAATAATACTGTGGTCATACTTTCAAATGAACATTTGTGTATAACTTTTCTCCACAAGCTACATTTTATATATAGTTGGTTAAAAAAAACATTCTGGGTTATTTTATTAAGAAAGTGAGTTTCTTGATTAAAAGCCACTATTCAGGTATTATTGAGTATATGTTAAGAATGAGACAGTGTGCAAAGCATTGCACACATTAAGTAGTGAGCAGAACAGAGGCAGCCTTCAGTTCTGGGGCACCAGCGTGGAGGTCAGGGTAAAGGATGGTACCCCATGAATTACAAACTGCGACTCTGCGTATCCCAGCCTGCAATTTAGCTGTTGGGAAGTTCAACTAGTGTTTATCATTTATCCACTGCAAAACTGTGTCCTAACCAAGATTGACTTTGGATTTGTTTTACATAGTTCTCTTTTCATCCTTATTATAGTTGGTGGGCCAGTTCATTGCCAGAGCTGTTGGAGATGGAATTTTATGTAATACCTATATTGATAGTTACAAAGGAACTGTAGATTGTGTACAGGCTAGGTAAGTAAATTAAGTTTTTCTTCTTAGAATTTCAAAACAGGAAATTCCACAGCATCCTGTGCATTGATTAGATGTTGTAAATGTGTAGTTGTTGTTTTCTGTTCCTCACTGTTTGGTGGACATGAAATAACAGGAGAAGGACAATAATGAAATGCAGAAGTTCTGAGCTCATTTATTCAGTTACCTTTTCTGGGTCTCAGTTTCCCTTCTCATAAAATGAAAGCATTGGTTGTGTAGTGTTCATGGTACTTTCTGGTTCCAACACCTGAAGTTATTTAATGTTTAGAATTGTTAGAAGTCTTGTCTTGGAAAATGTGCGTTTGGCTTTATTGTTTGATTTAGTGAATTATAAGCCAAACATGGTATTTCACTTTTCTAAACTTCTGGAGACTTAGACAATCATGTATTAGGTTTTCCCAGATTCACACAGAACTTTGTGGGGTTACTTTAGGTCATAGTGGAATGACCTCTCCAAGTGAGAAGTTGTGAATCTGTATAAAAGTTGTATGTGAAATGTTCCTTCCTGGTTACATATCAATTATTTGGCAATATATTGAAAAATACCTTTCACTTTTATGTGAAATGTTCCTTCCTGGTTACATATCAATTATTTGGCAATATATTTTGGCCTTTCTTGACGGGAAATGAATGTAAAAGAAGATGAGGATGTTAAATATTTTGCTACCTAAGTTTTATTTGGAAAGTTATTTTCAAAAATTATGTATGTTTTGTTACATGAAAGTTGTCAGTACATAGACACTTTTGTAAACTGTTGATAATGTGGTAAACCTCAGCATATCTGTGTATCAAAGTGAAAGTTTCCTTCCTTCCTTGTCTTTTTGGTAGAGCTGCTCTGGATAAAGCTACTGTGCTTCTGAGTATGTCTAAAGGGGGAAAGCGCAAAGACAGTGTGTGGGGATCTGGAGGCGGGCAGCGGTCTGTGAACCACCTTGTTAAAGAGGTACCTGATAAGCATTGCTCTCAACTTGCCATGTGTTCCTTGGAAAGAGAAAACAGGTAGACAAATGTTTGGTGGTGTTTTTGTGAGTAAGGATTCCATGTGGTCTTACACCTGCAAGTAAAAATGGGATATTTTGCTGGGCGTTGGTGGCGCATGCCTTTAATTCCAGCGCCCAGAAAGTAGAGGCAGGCGGATTTCTGTGAGTTTGAGACCAGCCTGGTCTACAGCGGGAGTTCCAGGACAGGCTCCAAAGCTACAGAGAAACCTTGTCTTGAAACAGAGTACTCGCTGGGGACTAGAAAGACATACTCTCTCTCTCTCTCTCTCTCTCTCTCTCTCTCTCTCTCTCTCTCCAAATTAGAAAATAATTACATAATTATTGCTATTTCCCCCTTTTTGTGACTTAATGGCATGACTATTAAGAGGCTTTTCATGAATGTTAAGAATGTTGACTAAATATCTAAGATCTTATTTTTAGTAGTATTTAGTCTTAATACTAAATGCTATTTTTAAATTATTCACTAAATATTATATTTAAGCAGTTTGGGTAGTCTGAGATTATAGTTAGGAATTATGAACATCAGAGTAGATTGGAGTAGTAGATATTCATAAGGGTGTTCACTGCATTTGTTAAAAGAAAATTTACTGATTGAGTCATTTCATTAAAATGATTAATTTGCTTTCTGTGGATTTTCTTTATGTTCTTTAAGAAGTGGGAAGAATGTACTGTTTAACTATAGATCTTGAGACCTGCAGTTAGATTTGTAGTTTATGTTCTTGTTTTAGTGTATTCTTAATTTTGATTTTTAATTAGTTTTGTGTGTATGCATGTGTGTCTTTGTGTGTTTTAGTGCAGAAGTCAACCTCAGATCTCATTCCTTAGTAAATGTCACCTTGTGTTTTTGAGACAGTCTTCACTGGGATCTTACCTATAAGCTAGGCTGGCTGGACAGTGAGCCCCAGGTATCTCCTTGTCTCTGTCTCTAATGCTGAGATGACAAGCATGCCATGGGTCATGAGCATCAAAGTAAGGCCATCAAGCTTGCATGGCAAGCACTCAGTTGACTGAGCTGCAGCCTTTACCCTCCGTCTCTTTGTATCTCTAGTTTAAGTAGTGAGGTGCTCAGTGGGTTAGACACAGTGCTGACCACTCATACTTTTACATAGGTTAGAATAGACTCAATGGGGTAGGGTAGGCACAGTGCTGACCACTTTTGCTTTTACATAGGTTAGAATAGATATGTCAGGTCAGGGTTGCATTATCTTTTAAAAATTTGAAGAATTAGAAGAAAAGTTAAAATATAAAAATGGTTAATATGCCAGGGATATTAAGCAAGGAAGTGTAATAAAGGGCATCGTGACTAGAAAAAGAAGATGTAAAACCAGCTCTGTTCTCAGACACAGGGATACATAGATTGGAGAATCCAGGTGAGTCTACAGAGAAACTCCAACAATCCAAACTTAGCCAGCAGCTTAGTAAATTTGCATAGTAACAAGATCAATAATCAGAAAGGAAAGTGTAGCTGTATTTATAGAAGCATAAAAATAGAATATGATGAAAATTAACAAAGGAAATTCAAATTTTATGTCAAAAACTGAAAACATTGCAAGATATGTCATATTTATGGATTATAAGACTTATTATTAAGATGGTATTTGAGAAATAGACAAACTAAGAATATGTTAGACTTTCAATTAAAAAGAGATTGGAAATAAAACCAACCATATATGAATTTGAAATTGATAAATTTTGGGTACTCATTTAAATGGAAACAAGTTCAAGTAAAAATACTTCCACTTTAAAAAAAATAAGTATTTTTTAAAAGATGTATGTTTATATATGTGTATGTCTGCTTCTCTGTATGTGTAATGTATATGCATGTGACGTGTGTGTGTGTGTGTGTGTGTGTGTCTTCTGGAGAGGCCTTTGCGTCCCCTGGAATTCAGTTAGGAGCAGTTGTGAGCTCCTATGTGGGAACTGGGAGCTGAACTCAGGTCTGTTACAAGAGCTGCAAGTGCTGTTAACCACTGAGCTGTGTCTTCAGCCCCATGCTTCACTTTCCTAATGGCATAACAGATACAACGTAAATAACACATACCTTGTAGTTTTTAGTAAAAATACTTGACATGACATATCTGATATGAATATTTGATAAGTATACAATTACATACATTTACATTCAATATTCTTTGTCTATTTGTAGAGTGTGCATGGATCAAATATTCATATCAGATATGTCAAGTATACAATTACATACATTTACATTCAATATTCTTTGTCTATTTGTAGAGTGTGCATGGCGTGCTGTGGTGCACTCATGCATATGAGGTGTGAGTTTTTGCGTTTGTAAACATACATGGGTGTAAGGTGTCTCCCTCAGCCAGAAGTTTGATGTTTTGTCTTGACTTACTGGCTAGTGAGCTTCTGAGACCAGTGCTGGAATTACATTTATGCAAATCATGCCTGGCTTTATTACTGTTTTATGTGAGTGTGGGGGTTTGAACGTTGGTCTTCATGCTTATGGTTCAAGTGCTCTTCTAACCCACTGATCCAATACACCAGCCTCAAATATACACTTTTTAAAAACAAAAAAAGAAATTACTAATTAGACTGTATCTTAGTGATAAATTTTCCTTTACTTTTTATGAAGATACTATAGAAGTTTAAGTAGTGGATATTCACATAAAATAATTTTATTCAACCGGTCAAAATTCACTTAGTGCTTGTTTGTTTGTTTTTTTTTTTGTTTTTTTGCATGTAAGCCTGTATACCACATGTGTGTAGTGCTCTCAGAGGCCAGAAGAGGGCAGTGGATCCTCGTAAATGGTGGTTAACCATGTGTAGGTGCTGGGAATTGAACTTGGGTCCTCCAGAAGAGCAGGCATTGTGATTTTAACCACTGAGCCATCTCCCGTTCCCCACTAAATGTTTTGAGACACTGAGTTTCAGATCCTCAACTGTACTAGAAGAGAGGAACTGTAGAAATCTTGTCCATGTAGTAATGCTCTGCTCTTTGAATCTCTTAGTTCCTCACTAAGATCATCCAGATACTTTGTGGTATTCTAAAAAGTGATGAGACTTTAAAATAGTGAACTCTAGTGATACCTAACCCTGCCCTTTTAAAAGATTGGTTTTAACTGTATGTAAGTGAGTGGGTGTGTGTGTTTGAGTTAGGAGCCTGTGGAGTTTTGAGATCCTAGGAGCCGGAGTTACGGGGCGTGGAGTGGGTGGTGGGAAGTAGCCTCAGGTCCTCTGCAAGAACAGTCCATGGTATTAATGCTGAGCAGTCTTTCTACCCCCAAATCCTTTGTTTGTTTGTTTCTTTTTCAAGACAAGGTTTCTCTGTACAACAGCCAAAGCAGTTCTGGGACTCCCTGGAGGCCAGGCTGGCCTTACACTCACAGAGATCCGCCTGCCTCTGCCTCTGGATTGCATGTGTCGCCACGGCCTGGCAAAGCCCTTAGTTTAATAGAATACACTGAGCATTATTGTTACAAGTCAGGTCATCTACACTATAAAACCTGCTTTTAGATTACAGTTATTCCTTAGAAAACCAAGGGCTGCATTGCTTCATTAATGAACCATTCAAAGGCCGGGGGTTTATTTTTTAATTATCCAATCCCTATGTTCAATATCGGTATGAATGTAAATAAATCATTTAGGTACACATCTTTTAAAAATTAGGATTTCTAACATTTCAGTTTTTAAATCTGATAGATTGATATGCTGCTTAAAGAGTATTTGCTCTCTGGAGATATATCTGAAGCTGAGCACTGCCTTAAGGACCTGGAAGTCCCTCATTTCCACCATGAGCTTGTGTATGAGGTAAGATTGCATTTCATACCAGAGCACCCTCAGCTTTCCCTTTTACACCACGGTGACCAGATCAGTGCTTATTGAGAAATACAAAGTTTTTTCTTTAAAAATACTAAAATAATGTATAAGTTTATATAATTGTTACAGAAACCATATATATAATCGCTACATGTTATTTTTAGGAGCAGTTTCTCATGAACTGATGAACAAACATTAATTTACTCTTTTTTGTTCAAATTTTAGGCCATTGTAATGGTTTTAGAGTCAACTGGAGAAATTGCATTCAAGATGATTTTAGATTTATTAAAATCCTTGTGGAAGTCTTCTACCATTACTATAGATCAAATGAAAAGAGTATGTATGCTACTGTTTTAACTGTGTTTTTACAAGGTTTATATCTCACCTATATGTTTGAATGAAGGTTATGAATTGTTCGTGGGAGTTTCTTTCCGTGCACATACAGTATTATACCTGTAGAGTTTGTTTGACTTTATAATTTGTTTGGATGTGAAACTATTTTTGGACAATAACACTTGAGGCTTTGTTGTTCAGCACGGTTGTTCAGTTTGTGAGGCATAGTATTTTTTTTTCTTGTGTCTAGAAAAAACATTTAACATTGTTTTAACATTAAAAGAAACATTGCATTTCTTTTCCAACTTAAAATTGTACATGTTTTTGAAGTGGTGACATTTTTTATCTTACATTTTCTCTACAAGGCAGTAAATGGAGACGGGGAAGGGCATAGTCAGAGAATGTGCTCATTGTCTGACATTTGCTTAGTGCTCTAGGGAATTTTTTAAAGAAAGCAAATATATTTCATTTTCAAGGTTCAAAATTGCTTTGCCAGTTTGTGCTGTATCAGTTCATGGTATAGTGGTGGGTTGTTTCATGGCACCATACAGTTTTCACAATAACAATTGTATATGTAATTTTTTTCTAGGGTTATGAGAGAATTTACAATTATGGTATAGTGGTGGGTTGTTTCATGGCACCATACAGTTTTCACAGCCTAACAATTGTATATGTAATTTTTTTCTAGGGTTATGAGAGAATTTACAATGAAATCCCAGATATTAATCTGGATGTCCCACACTCATACTCTGTGCTTGAGAGATTTGTGGAGGAATGTTTTCAGGCTGGAATCATTTCCAAACAGGTCCGAGATCTTTGTCCATCAAGGTACTGTATTTAAATACTATCTTTCATTGTAAAATACTGAACAGGAGATACTTGGGGAGCTAAGGTCAATCTCTCTCTTTCTTTCGTTCTTTCTTTCTTTCTTTCTTTCTTTCTTTCTTTCTTTCTTTCTCCCCCCTTCTTCCCTCCCTCCCTCTCCCTCCCTTCCCTCCCTCTCTCTCTCTCGTCAGAAGTATCTTTCTTGAAGTGACCGGAAATCAGGAACCCTCTACGTAAGAGTTTACAAGTGTGAAGCTTGTTTGTCTCACTGCAACTATGGACAGGACTCCCATTTGGAGGGAACTAACTTTATATAGTGTAGATGTTTACTAGGCTGTTAGTAATTGTTACTTCAGAGTAGGTATTATCACTAAAAATACAAGAAAATTGAAGATTATTTCATTAACCTTCAAGGTCTCATGACTACTGCAAACTATGTTGGCAAAGTTTGAATTCAGACTTTCTTAGACTTTTTGAAAGGTCTAAACTCTTTGCTGTACTCAGCAATAGCTTCCTTTGCTTCACGTGATGGAGAGCTGACACTGTTAGAAACTGTACATGGGGAGTGTTGTTCTTTGGAAGGAATTATATTTGGACTAGTAGGATAGAACTTAACGAGTTGATAAGGGTTTTTACCCTTAAAATATAAGGCTGTAGTGTAATAAGTTAAATATTTAGTTGTTGCTAAACTTGTATCTTATATACATTTTTGTTTGTTTTTAAGTCTGAAAACTGTAAGCTTTGAATGTTTATTTTGTGAAGAGTCTCAGAAAAACTTATTTCTAAAGTTTGGAAGCTCAGAGGAAGATGGTGGAGCAGAAATGTTTGGAAATGCAGATAGTGACTAGATGTCACATCACACATCAGTGAAACTGCACCTTGGCGAGGCCTGTTGTTCTTCACTGCTCACCCCACACTGATCTTAGGGTAGTCCTCAGCCTTCTGTTCAGGAAGACAAAGCAGATTCCTGTCAGTACCCTACGGTTGCTGTTGAAGAATTTTTTAAAGCTTGTGTTTAAAAGTCTGGTCATTTTTATTGGGCCTTTAACTCTAGGGCCATGTGAAGAGTTTGTACAGTTGTCTAGCATAATACCAAACAACTGAGACTTTTTCTCCTAAGTTTTTGCTTTTTTTGTGTTAAATGCACATGCGTGTGTGATCTTGCTTGTGCATGCTGGTGGGGGTGCAGAGTAGGTGCTATTCCTGCAACAAGTCTGTTTACACTCACTGATGTAGGCTGCTGGCCAGTTGTCCTCTTGGGGGAGCGCTGCTGCAGTAGCTACAGTGAAGTACTCTAGTAGAGAAGTGTTTCATATGTGGAGGTCAAAGGTCAATTTGTGAGAGTTCATTCTGTACTTCCATCATGGGCTGATCAGGCTTTGTGACAAGAGCCTTCAACTGTTCTGAACCACCTTGCTGGCCAAACTCTATTTTGTTAAGTTCTATTAGTTCTGTCTTTCATGATTCTTATTCATGTTTAAAGTCATTATCTTCAGCTTATTTGCTTTTAGATAAGGTAATAATAAGCACTAAAGTCTAAATAAAATGCCTTTATTTTCTATTTTAACTTTTATTATTAACTAAGTAGATAAAGTTCATTAGTAATTAAGCATTTATGTAAGCTACTCATACTTGCTCTTATCTGGTGTTTTCTAAGGCTAAGGGTATCTAGTAAATAAGGTAAAAAATATCTTTTCATAGGAATTGAGGCATGCTAATCTTACTCTGTAAGTCTTAAGTGTATAAACAAAGAAGTCAAGGTTTAATGTTTCTCATTGAATCAGATTTTTACCTGCATTTGTTTTTGTTTTTTGTTATAGGGGAAGAAAGCGTTTTGTAAGCGAAGGAGATGGAGGCCGTCTTAAACCAGAGAGCTACTGAACACAAGAACTCTTACAGTCTTAGGTGTGATAACGGCAGATCTGAACTGTAAGAGTTACTAGTGCAGGTTTTTTTTTGTTTTTTTTGTTTTTTTTTTTTGGGGGGGGGGGGGAAAAGGCATTTTTTAATTTTTTTTTTTTTTTTTTTTGGGTTGTACACTCCTTTAATTTCAATGTTCTATAGGCAAAAAACTGGCCAAAGTCTACATGTTCAAGGCCACAAGTTCCTACATAGAGTTCCAAGTCATCCCATGTCATATAGTGAGACACTGTCATGGATTATTTTGTGACTGGAGAGAACCCAAGGGGGATAAGAGCAGACTGGTCTTTCTGATGGCACAAGATGCCGCACCCATGCCACATGGCTTACAGCCACCTATATGTAACTTAAGATCCAGAGAAGTCCTGAGAATCCAACTGCTCTGCCCTGTGTCCCACACGTCTTTCCCAGAAGCCACTCTCAATGTGGTGCAGATTGAGCACTCTAGTCGGCCAAACAGTCTGGTTAATCAGCCAATCCATTCCATCAGGCACAGCCTGGAAGTTATCCACATGACACATTGTATCCAAGAGGAAGGCAGGAGAAGGGCCAAGAAACTACCATGGCCTTCACTACCTTTGTCTGTCAATAAAAGCCTGCTCGAACAGTGGTAGGAAGAATAAGGTATGAAGGCTCTCCAGAGCAGAGATGGCCAAGTCTGCATTTCTCAGCCGCCCTTGCATGGCCAGCTGCTGGAGAGTGGGCACAGCCTGGAAGCTCATCCTGGGGATTCAGTTAAGGGATCCAGACGCAGGCACTGGTGACAGGTCTCCTAGTCCCAGCAGGCTCAGGAGGTGACTCCAAGACCCTAAGCGTCTTCTCTGGCTCCTCTAAGGATCTTGTTTACCCACCCTTCCATTCCTGAAATTTTATAAATGTACATTTAATGGGGATTTTTGAAGGAAGTATTTTTTTCTTTTTCTTTTTTTCTTTGCTGGGTGGGGGAGGGGGGAATGAAAGGAGGGAGAGAAGAGTAACCACCTAAGTGTGGGAATTCTGATAAGCTACTTTTCTAAGTGCCATGTTTATGACCTAATCATTCCAAGTTTTGCATTGATGTCTGACTGCCACTCCTTTCTTTCAAGGACAGTGTTTTTTTTGTAGTAAAATCACTGGTTTATACAAAGCTTTAGTTAGGGGTGAAGTAAAGCTACTACTAAGCCCCCTGTTGGCTGCTGCTGTGGAAATGCTGTGCTTTGGGAGTAGACACCACACCACACTACATACACATAAACACACACACACACACACACACACACACACACACACCACACACACACACACACACCATATATACTTTTGTCTTGAATTTTTAAAAGACGAGTTAGTCATGAGACTTTTTCATCTTTCCAGGGAACATATTGATTGGTCTTAAATATTAGACAGTTAAGTAAATGGTGGCTGGAACATCTATTTTTCTACAAAACTGGAAAAATGAACCCGGTTCTACAAGAATGTACAACAAAATAAAAACATGAAGCAGTGTTGATTCTTTAGTTGGAGTACATTTATTTTGTCTGTCGAAAACGTCCTTTAGGTTTTCCATCTAAACCTCATTAGGCCTTTTGTTCAATCCCAACAGGGCAAGACAACACAAAAATGTTTTGCTGTTTCTTGAGACAGTGCCTTGTTATGCAGCTCTGGCTGGCCTTGTAACTTGAGGTAGTCCAGGTTGTCCTCAAACTCAGGTAGTTTTCCTGTGTCTATTCAGTGTCCTGAGTGCTGGGAATAAAGGCATAGACCGCCATGCCTGGTTTTCAAAACAAGTACATTTGAGCTTGGTGAATTCAAATTGTTACAAACTTCTTTTTAACCTTCAAATTTTAATTAAAAGAAATAAAACAGGACTAGAGAGACTGGTAAGCAGTAGTGAGCACATGCTGTGCTTTACAGGACCCAAGGTGGGTTCCTATGCACCCACAGTGGGCAGCACACAGCCGCCAGTAATTTGAAGTCTCTAGGGGATCAAATCTTGTGGCTTCTGTGGCCACCTGCACATGGATGGCATACACACTGACACATAAAAACCTTAAATCAGTGCAATAGTTGAAAAAGAGCCTTTTAAGTTTATACTAGGGAAGTATATGCACACTTTAATCTTTTGTGTATGGAACTGGAGTTTAATGAAATTTGTCCAGTATATAAACCACTCTTATCCTTAAGGTCTGTTAACATGTTTAAAAAAGTACTCTACAAGTACTTAAAGCTTTACATTATCCAAATACCAATAAATGTAATCACCAATAAATGACTTTAAGGAGCCAGACGGCCATATTTCTAGCCTCTTTTATAAAGGCTAATTACTTAGCAAGGTTTTAAGGTCTGTGGTAACTGAACTTGTCTAGTGACTGCAGTAAAGCATTACATTTATAATTTTTACAATAGTTTCTTGGTTCCAGTGCTAGGTGTAGTCTTTTAGAAAGAAAACCCTCTGTTGTTCATGCTTCATGGGCTCTTTCTTTTAAGCTGATATTGCTTGGGTTTATTACTGTGATGGCTATAATAAACATTTCTAGTTTTTGTATTTGGTACTCAAGTAACAGGTTTTTCTTTATGTCTTAAAATTAGTGTAATCAAAAGCTTAGCTGACTCCAGAATAGCTTGAGGTTTTTTTAAGAATCAAATTTGTTACTGGGCAGTGGTGGTGCTCATGTCTTTATTCCCAGCACTCGGGAGGCAGAGGCAGGCAGGTCTCTGTGAGTTTGAGGCCAGCCTGGTCTACAAAGTGAGTTCCAAGACAGCCACAGTGGTTACACAGAGAAACCCTGTCTTGCAAAATAAACAAAAAAGGAAAAAAAAAAGAAATTTGTTTAAGAAACCAGATTTGTTTATTACTGCTGTTGTTATGGTCAGCCTACACACATTAAACATGACATGGTACATAACTGGTTAAGTTTGTTTTGGGGTAATGTATAAGCCCAACAATACATTCAATAATAAGAGTTTATTTTCAGGTTTAGGTGTCTAATAAACATGAAGAAATCCTTCACCCATAAAAGATACATTTAATTTCTTACATTCATAACAATAGGTAATTTACAATTTTAAAAGCTTTTTCAAAATCCAAAAAACTTGGCTCAAAGTTTTTCTTTTTAACACAAACCAATGTTTCGAGTTCCCAAACTTTGTATTTTAGAATTACCAATGTCTAGTTTGATAGGTGTTTTCGGCCTGTAGCTTGCTGTAGAGTGGTTCTAGCTCGTGAACAGGTAGGAGGGGGGGGAGGGGTTGTCCCCTGGTCAGTGGGCTATTTGCCGGTCTTCTTTCTCTGCCATTTCTTGTTGGCGGATTGTATCCTGTGCTGCTTGCTGCATTTTCTCCAGTTTTTCCAAAGTCAAAGATTTTAGGGGTAAAAGCTTGGGTTTACACAGCACCATTGTGGTTACATCTTCCACAGACAACTGTCCTATTAATAAGAAATAAGAAATTTGAGGAAGATGCCTGGTGGTTTTGAATTGCAACTAGAATGTAAGTCTAAAATCTTACTGTTAATGAAAAAGTTTCTTCCCCTAGACGGACAAAGCGGTAATCCCACAAGCAACAAAACACTGAAGGGTCAGGAACAAAAGATGGACTTAGATATACAACACAGCTGTTCGGGCCAAATGTTTAATTGTAAGAATATATACACAACACAAAAAATATAGCAAGGTTTAATATTTAACATGAATGTTCAAATTATGAATGGTTTAACTTGAATGGTTAGCTTTTATTACTAGAGTTTGATTTTAGGTTACTTTCCCCGTATTTTCAGTCTTCCTTTGATTTGCATTTCACTGGGAATTTCACATTGTATTCTGCACTGAGGTACAACAGAATTTACACTTACAAAAAACAGTATTTAATTTGGTATCCTTTTGTTGAGAAAAGTGAGAATTTCTTTACAACCTCCTCATGAACACACAATATAATTGAGAGTGCACGGTAAATGAGCCATGTAACCACAGGGTTGCAGATACTTAGCTATTCTTCTGTGTGATACTGTCCATCACCTGCTAAGTCTCAAGAAGCCTACTATCAAAAACTTGCAAAATATAATACCTTGTTTTGGAAGGACTTCCCGGAACATGGACTTCACTTCTGCCATCTATAAGTGCTGGATACAGTGCTTCTGTTCCTTCAATGAGAAATCAGTTACCAAGATTAGAATTCCCAAAGAATACTACTGGAGACTATAACTGAAACCACAAATACTACAGAAAGTAAACTATCCCATCTCATCAGTTTTCTGTGGTTCTCCTCTGAAATAAGGGTGAAGCATTTTATATGTATCTAGGTCTTATCAATATTTATTCAATAATAGTAATTAGAATGTTACACATTCTAATTTATTCATCCATCCTAGGAAAAAATTGCTAAAATTTCAGTTTTTCTTTTTGGTTTTACATTTTTTTTTGTCTCCCTTCCTTCCTTCCTTCCTTCCTTCCTTCCTTCCTTCCTTCCTTCCTTCCTTCCTTCCTTCCTTTCTCCTTGTTTTGAGACAGAGTTTCTCTGTGTAACCCTGGCTGTCCAGGAACTCTTTGTAGACCAGGCTGGCTGGCCTTGAACTCACAAGAGGTCTTCCTGTCTCTGCCTCTCAAGTGCTGGGATTAATGGTGTGCACCACCACTGCTTGGCATGTTTTGTTTTTTTCTTTTTAAGAGGAAATCATTCAGTTGAGAAAAGGCATATAGTAAGCCATCTTGGTTCACAGACAGCTTCTCTCCCCAGGAGACACTGACACCAACACAACTACCAAATAAAAAGGGGTGAGGCAGAGACGAAGAGGTGGTAATAGACAACACTTCCTAACATTGTTTTTCTTCAGTTGCCAACAGCCAATTTCTACTTTTCAATTCCCAGCTGCACAATCTGTAAGAAGGCAACACAATGGGTAGATAAGCTATGAAAGAGACATGAAGTGTGTTTTAGTATAGTCCTGTTGAGATACTATATGCCAAAGAACCAGACTACATCTTCCTATTAATACTTTTATGGCTGGCTAAGCACATGCTGCCTGCGGGCAGAAATGCTCATTCCAAAGTCTACATCCCAGACGACAGCTATACCATCTGCTGATCCGGGATCAAGTATTCCCGGATCAAGTTGTAGAATGATGCCTTTCCAGACAGAGCCACCCATTTGGTGATGCTTCACTACCCTGATGCAGCCTTACCATGTGTCTTTCACAATATTACTACAAAGATTTATTATTTATAAAGTGGTGATGCTGGCTTGGTGCCTGCTTTCCCACCCACTGCAAGTTAATTATTTTGTTCTTTGTCATCTTGTTCCACTACTTAGACATTCCTAATAAAAGCTTTCTACTCTGTATCCTTCAAGTGATTATCTCTCATTACTCTGGAATGTCTAGGTTCCTGAGAACTTCTATCTGCTTTGCAGAACTCCTGTCTTCAAACTTGATTCCTGTTGCCTCTGCTCTGAGAGTAGATGATGTAAGGAATAGGCCAGGAAAGCAACTCATCACTATAAATGGAGTGTGAGATAAATACACTGTACAATTTCCTTAGAATGCATAACTCCTAATACAGGATCCCTTGCTATTTAGGCCTGAAACATAACAATCACAGCCTTCTTCTTCCAGGCTGGGTTGGAAGCGGATAGCAGTGATAGCCCTGGTTAAACTGACTGTAGCTACTGAACCTCCAGCCTTTCCATTAACAACATCAGAATGAAAATACTGTGACTTCCTCGGGAACAGATCTGACATGCTACTACAAGGATGGGCAGTACTGATCTTGAGAAGAAAGCATACACTTCCATATATAACCACCAAAATGCTGTCTATTGTGGTTAAGTGTTAGCTGTTTATAGAAAGCAACTCTAGCTTTGTATAATTAAATCACTACCCTTTGTTTTCCTTTAGTTTGCACCTTTTACCCATCCACAATACAGCCTGAGGAAAATGATGACACTTGGTGTTCATTTCTGTTTGAGCCATTGTTAATGGAAAGGGTGTGGAGCTAAAAGACTGGCAAAGAATGGGCTGACACTTGTGAGGGTAAGATCAGTGCTCTTATTTGCTTAGGTGGTTTCTGCTTTAGTAGGACTGATTCTTGTTCTAGGCCCCTTAGGCCTTGACAGAAGAGAAACAGGAAGGGAAGGGCTAAAATAAGCAAGGTGGAGATCTGATGGCTAGCATTGGCCAGGATATGCAGTTTTGATAATTAACTGCCTTGGGAGTCTAGAATAGGAAGGAACTTTTTTTTTTTCCTCATAGCAGTCTGCTATTAGCCAAATGCAAGTGTTTTGTAGGGTGTGGCTACTTCTAAGCACATTATCAGTGCAGATGGGATGCATATAAAACCAGAGACTGATGGATCAAAAGAGAAATAAAACAACCATCTATTACTGAAATATACATTGAAAAACTGCCATGAAGCCCTACCATGTGCCAGACAATATTAGCAGTGAACAAAAATCTTTTGCCTTTGGAGCCTACAGCTGGGGAGAAGGGAAGAGAAACAATAGAAAGCAACTAAGTGCAGATAAAAGTTTATATTGAATGCTGGAAGAGGGTAACCCAGTTGTAATAGGAAAATCATGATGGTCCCATTAGAATGACACTTAAACAAAGACTACTTTTTTTTTTTTTTTTTTTTTTTTTTTGTACCAAACCAGATGGTCCCATTAGGATGACACTTAAACAAAGACTACTTTTTTTTTTTTTTTTTTTTTTTTTTTGCTAGGTCCACCAGAAGACTAAATTTCCAGGGAGGACTGATGTCTGGCTGCTGGGGCAGGTGGGTGTCACTGAGTGAGTGGAAGTAAGTTGGCCTTGAAGAAGAGGGTGTTGGGGTGGAGTGCAGTCATGGAGAGGGGGTGCTCTGGAATGGAGGACTGTGAGCAGAGAGGACAGAGGCAGAATGCAGGGAAAGAGTGAGTGAAGTGGTATAGTTTAGAGCATGGGGGGGTAATTAGAGCATGGGGGTTAATCTGAGGATTAAACATTCTCTGGGAAAGACAAAAAGAATTATATGATAACCAGCTGGGGACCTTGGACAGCACACTGCCCCTCCATCTTGGCCCCTGGAACCCTGCTTCCTGCTTCTTTCAATGTCACCCCATAGACTTCTGTCAAGGCTGCCATGGCCTTGAGTGGATCTAATAAGCCTTTTTTATAGAGCTACTTTGCTGTATCTGCTAAAACCTCTGCATTCTACTTGAGAGCTGTCATAAAACTACAGCAGACTGTTAGGAGTAGGGATGGCCACTCAATATTGCATCAAAAATGATATATTGACAGCAATACTGAGCCTACTTGTTCAGCAATTGGTTAAGAGTTGTATGGGTTATGCACAGACTGAGATACTAACTCAGACTAAAAAATGATCTAATTGTGATGGCATATTAAGACAAATATTAAAAATCAACATAATCTTACCATATTGGAACTCAGATTTTAACACTGCCAAACACAGTGTCATTATACCACTGTTTGAAGCCCTTGGTCAGGGTGACTGGAATAGTCTGCCACTTTCTTTCCTTTTTAAAGTTTGCAATCTCAGAGAACAGTTCTGATGGGCGGTGTACTTCAAAATCCCGAGAAGGTATGCAAACCCACCACAGTAGCCTGCAATGAATTCAAAAGAACTCAAAGAAAAACAAAACCTTTGTCGTAAGATATTTTACTGTTTTTGGAGCATTGAAAGACTTGTCTAAGAAAGATGGCTTTTAAAATCAATCATGTATTGGACAAGTCAGAAGAGAAGATCACCAAAACTTTAAAAATGCAAGCTGTCTTCAAATTCTTCCCTGCAGATTCTTGGAGACATTTTGGAGAAAGTAGATTCATCACTACATGTTTCTAAATTGGCATTTTTCATCTGTAATAGTTATAAAGGACATGATTTCTACATACTTAATATCAATTTTTAAAACATGCAATGTAAACACAGCAATTTGGTAGCTAACATTTTTTTTTAATAAAAATGAAAAGTTCTTAAGAGACTTTATTCATTTATCCCTAGATGTCTTTATTTCTATCACCCTTTGGGTGGTAAAGTGACCAAAGATAACTGAGAAAAGCTAACATGGTTGAGTTGTACAGGTAGTAATTCAAATTTGAAAGGAAGAATAAAGATCATGTGTGGTGGTTTGATTGAAAATGGTTCTCGTAGGGTCATAATAGATTTGAATGCCTGGTCACCAGGGAGTGGCACTATCTGAAAGGTTTAGGTGTGGCTTTGTTGGAGGAAAGATGCACTGAGGGTATGTTTTGTGGTTTCAAAAGCCCATGCCAAGCCCTGGGTCTCATGGCCAGCAGTAAAGATGTAGCTCTCTGCCATCTTTTCTAGCTGCACCCTGCCATGCCTTCTGCCATGATGATAATGGGCAAAACCTCTGAAACCGTGACCAAGTCCTCAATTAAATGCTTTCTTTTATGACAGTTGCTTTGGTCATGGTGTCTCTTCATAGTAGTATAACACTGACTTAAGACACCACAATTCAGGGTTAGGCTCAGTCCAGTTGGAGATAAAAATGATCGAGGTAGAGTCAGCTGCATATCATCAACGACAGAGGTACATGCAGTCACCCAAGGATGTGGGAATGGCGGGTGGTGCGATTAGCGGTAAAGACAAGTACACACAGCAGTTAAGAGAAGCATCTTGCTGGGCAGTGGTGGCGCACACTTTTAATCCCAGCACTTGGGAGACAGAGGCAGGCGGATCTCTGTGATTTTGAGGCCAGCCTGGTCTCCAGAATGAGTTCCAGGACAGCCAGGGCTACACAGAGACCGTGTTTCAAAAAGGTATGGTATGGTATGGTATGGTATGGTATGGTATGGTATGGTATGGTATGGTATGGTATGGTATGGTATGGTATGGTATGGTATGGTATGGTATGGTATGGTATGGTATGGTATGGTATGGTATGGTATGGTATGGTATGGTATGGTATGGTATGGTATGGTATGGTATGGTATGGTATGGATGTACCTTAGTTTCATAATATCAGTGTTTAGTGGAAAGTGATATGTATTAACTAAGACATTTGAACAGAATGTGTGTGTGTGTGTGTGTGTGTGTGTGTGTGTGTGTGTAAATATTTTTTAACCTCAAAAGGCAATTTTAGGATTGAATTTGTTTGGGTGCAGTCAAAAAATAAGAAAACTTGAATTACCCACCTCCTATTCATCCCACAATATGTAAGGGCAAACTAAAAGACTAGGAAAAAGTAATCATGCCTAAGATTATGTAGTTGTTAAGTGAAGATAAAGGACTTGGAATGTCATCTGCTATAATTTATTACCTGGTCCTCTTTTCAGTTTTCTCTATGCTACACCTGGGCAAATAGCTTGGAGGCCCATCAAGAGTGAAGTAATACACTCTAAGTCTATTGGAATGGGCAGCTTTGAAGCCATTAATTACAATAAGAAAGTCAGGTAAAAACGTGTCAGAAAGTCTTGGGAATGTGTACATGTTTACAAATGGCATGCAAAGTCAAGTAGTATACTTTTTTTCCTCTTTAGCAACTGTCACAGACAATACATGTAGCATGTGATGATCTTTCTTAATTTATAGATTGAGTGTATTTTAGTTGTCATGTTTGACACCACCTTGAAAACAGCATTAGGACGGGGAAACTTTTTGACTATGGATTTTATTTACAGAGTTTTTTTTTCCAGTGCTGGTGATCAACTCAGGGTCTTGCATATGATAAACAAGTGCTCTACCATGCAGCCTCAGTCCTAAGTTTTAAAAGAATGTGTGCCTAGAGCCATCACACTCTGAGCAGATATGCAGTATGTTAAACAGCTAAACAGGGCTATAAGCTTTAGGTCCTATCTTTGTCTAGCTATCTGGAAACTGCAAGTTGTGGTCACAAAAGCAGTAAATAAAAAGAGGTACAGATTACTAAAATCTAACCCCAGTTCCATGAACATGGATTACAAACATCAAAATCAAGACCCAGGGCAGGATATGGATGCATTTTTAAAATTGTTCTAGCTCACAGGAATGCTTGGGAGTCAGTCCCAAAGATAAATGTCTTTTCCTTAATATGTGCCCACCACTCCAAACCTGTTATTTGGTCTTCACTATCACTCTTTCCCCCCCTGTAGTTAACGAACTCATCAGCTTATCATAATTATATAAAATCCACCTCTAAAGTATGAAATGGAATGCTTCAGAGTAATTTAGCAATTCCATGTATTTTAAATATGGAATTTTGTTTGATGAGAACAAAAGCTTGCATAGAAAACTGAAATTTTTTCGACTACTAATCTATTTACATTTATACTTTAAGTGGGGCATAGAGTTGTGCTCTATGGTAATTAGCTAGCTGGTTTTTCTCTGTTTCAGGCATATACTTTAAAAGAGATAACCAAAGTTATATTGATAGATAACTTAGCTGTCTGATCCTGAATATATTTCTTAACCATTATGCAGTTTGGTTTCCTCCTACAAAACATATTTCAATATTCATCCAAAATTGAAAGCTCCAAGTAAATTGAAGATATAAAAATGCCTAGAAGTTCAGTATGGCTTACTATGTTAGGTCAAGTTTTCATGTCATGATGGACTTGCTCTACACTGCTATTAAGGGATCTTCTACGTTCAAATACCTTTGAATCTTTGTAGACACTGTATTTCCTACAAATAAGATGGCATGATCTATTCAAAAATGTTTTTCTTTAAACACTTTCTTTTTACTTATTTAAATTTAAAGCAGCTTGCATTGCAAAATTGTATCCTTAAATGTTTTTGAATGAATGATTAAGCAAATATACTTCATGATATATGTAACTCAAGGTTGGAATCACGGTGAAGGTTTTAAGTGAGCAGTGAAGAGTAGAAACCTATACAGACTGTAACCAAGGGAACAGAAATCTGTTGTATGTTAAAAATCTATCTTGAAAAAAAAAATCTATCTTGCATCCTTGACAGAGATGACAAATGACTTGATTCTTACCAAGAGAAGTAAATAATAGTGCTTTTTAAAGCATTTTGAGACTCTTTAAACAAAGTCCTAATGTTTTTATGTAATATAGACATCATAAAGCTGGAGCCCTGTAGTCCCTAATTTTCTTTTCTTTTTTCTTTTTTTGGTTTTTTCGAGGCAGGGTTTCTCTGTGTAGCTTTGGAGCCTATCCTGGCACTCGCTCTGGAGATCAGGCTGGCCTGGAACTCACAGAGATCCGCCTGCCTCTGCCTCCTGAGTGCTGGGATTAAAGGTGTGCACCACCAATGTCCGGCTCCCTAATTTTTTATTTGGTCTGCTGGACATTTAAAAAATATTTGAACCAATTTTGAAACCCCACAGATTGACAGAAATCCAAATTCTAGCTGTATTTGGCAGTATCTGCTAAACATGTGCTCTCAGATGCTCTGAGATTCTCTCGTGTTTTCTATCCCCATTGCCCCCCTCCCCCCAAATCAGCTCCACTGTTAAGCATAGCTGACATTTCTGACATTGACCTGCAGTAAAATGCAGAACCCACTATATTACATGCCAAGTTGTGCAGTGGTTGATGCTTGTTGGTTTTTTCAGTTGTAAACCTGTCTTTAAAGTTTGTGCCATCTCTCCAACTTCCTCTCCCCTCTTGAGACAGGATCTGGATGCAGTTGCTTAGGATGCTTTGGGACGCCTGGGCTCAAGTAATCCCCTTGCTTTATGTTCCAGTGTAGATGGTACTGCTGGTGAAAAACCCCTGGGCCTGCACACTAGGCACTAAGATTCAAATCCTAGAGATGGAAGCACCAGAAGCAATCCTATTAAATAAAGGATACTCATTGTTAAAGCTTTTAAATTCTTTTGTGAATATTCATTAAGTTAGCTCTTTTAAAGTAAATTCAATTTGGCTGGTGCAGGTTTAAGTGGGCATGGCATAGAATTGTAGGAACAACAACAAAAATTATCTTCTTTCATTCAAAAGTTGAAGTTGAATGATAGATGAAATTTCAAAAGCATATATTTTGGAAGGATAGTGGGTGGGGCAGTACAGGGGATTAAATTTAAGGCCTTTTGTATATTAGCCAAGCATTCACCACTGAGCTACACCTCCAGTCCCATATAGACTGTTCCATGTGAGCTAATAAGGAAAAGGAGAGTGAGCCCGGAAAGACTACGTTTCCCAGTAGATATATGGTAGTGACACCTAGTTTTACTCAAGCATTGCCCATATGCCAGTGGAGAAGCCAACTGACATCAGATATCAGACAGTTGGAGACATAGTAGATTGTAGTCTGCTTTGCTAGCTGGCATCTGCTAGTATAAATGCATTGCAACATGCTCAATTTGGCTAATTAACTCAGCCTTATGTTAATAAAATGTGTGATGTTTAGTTTCTGAAATGTACCTAAGCTTCAGAACAGGAACTGTTCATGGGGATATGGATGATATCATAGGTGCTGGGAGACTCCAATAGCATATACCACTATAAGGTTCATATTCACCTCATGAGAAATACTGTTCTCTAATAACCTGTTTTAAAATTCAGTTCTAGGTCACAGTCTTAAAAATATTAACCATTAACTTTGTAAAAAAGTTAATATCTGAGATAACTGGTTAGCTATTTTCATAGTATGTAAGGAAAGAGAATTATTTGATAGTTCACATTGTTTTGTAAAGCTCATTTCTCAAATCTCAGATTTTGT